GAAGCATCTCATAGACACCCTATAGTTTTTTCAGTCACTTCGAATCATGTGAGTCAGAAGCAGCTGTTTTTGCACCACGTCTTGCTGTAACCCTGAGCTTGATAAAACTATGACACATTCTCTGCTTCCAATTCAAGCTATCTTTAAGCTCTGGCTTTGAAATCTCGTCCTGGAAGGAGGCAAGGACAAACACCAGAAAATTTCTTGAGAAGCTTTTAATTTCTTTTAATTCCTCAATTCTCCTTCCTTCCCACTCAGAAAAAATAAGTGGTTGTTTCTTTCTTTTTAACTAAAAACAAACAATAAGAAAAGCAGGTATTATCCTACTCCAACAGCTGTATGTGATTTACAGCACATATTGAGTATGTGGTTTTCATTTTCATGACTTGTCTTAGAGCAAACGTAACTGTCTGAGAGTGTGATACTAGGAAACTGCACAGCACAAAAGCACTGGCAATCTTGTCCACTTGAGTCAAATCAGGCTAGGAACTTGGTCTATTTAATCACTGCTTGTGAGAGCTGTCTGAAAAATTGCTAGCTTTGTGGCTGGTGGATAATAGCAGAACTCTGATAATTGCTGGAGGCTAAGACCTCCTGCTTGTGGAAACAACCACTATTTGTCTTATTTTAATCTGATGAGATCTTCTGTGGCTGGTACTCAGTGTATCTTCAGTGGAGAAGAAAGTCTGAATGATTAACATCTCCCCAATTTACACTGAGTTAATGCTGGGGTTTGTCAGTCCCATCTCCTCCATCTGTGCAGGCCTGGACAAGGCTTTTGTGACTGTTTAAGTGTACTGTGCCCCCAGATAGCACAATTATATGACTGAAGGAACCTTTTCTCGTTTTGTTCCCAATTCTACCTTTTCATGTTGTTCCCCCAACAGGGTTGACCTGCAGTCTTTCTAGTTACAGTTGGAAGGTATTGATGTGTCAGTGCCTAGTCAGGCAGCAGTGTTTGGTAATACGTTACCTGTTTGGGACCTAGAGGATTATCTTTTCCTTACCTTGTTCTCATGTGGTATCAGTACTGCAATCCTTTATTTTATGAGGCTAATAAATTGCAACTTTCTTTCCATGTTCTCTGGAAAGACAAAAAGTTGCTATTACTCTTGGAAAACCACATTAAAGAAAAAGCAACAGCAACTGGAGTATTGCTGACATTGTTTAATGAAAACCAGAGCACTGCAGTGGAAAATGGGAAGGACATGATGGGAAGGACAGCTTCAATTAGAGGAAAGGGGAGATTAAAGACCTCTCTTTTATACAACCTAGGGAAAGAATGTGAAAGAATGTGTTTGAAGAAGGGTCTAATTGAAGGATAAAATGGAAACGGTAAATGGCTTATGATAAGATCAGTAAGCGGAGACAGTGAAGCCAGTATTGCCAGGAATATGCATAGAAGTTCATAAAACCCAAAAGCCAATTCAGTCTGGAACAGACAGACACAGAAGAAATATCCCAGGAATTGTGAGTATGTAGAAATCCTAGTGGACAAGGACAAAATCTGAATAGTTTGAAAAACTATCAAGTATTTTTTGCCTTAAAAAATATTCACTGAAATGCGAGAAGAATAAGGAAGATCAAGGTCTTTTTCTGAAGGAGGAATGAATGAAATTTGATGAATATTATGCATGGAAGATATCCCTGTAATCACAGAAAGTTAGTCTTCTCAACAGGGAAAATCCTCATAGTCAGAAAGGTAAAACCTCTTAAACTTGAAATTTCTGTAAACGTGCAATATTGCTTCTTAACACATTGTACGGAAGAGCTTTGACTCAGAGAAGTATGTTTTTAATTAATTTAAATTGTTAATTCAATTGGGCTAAGAACAAGGTCAGGGAGGGAGGAAAGCTGGATGAAGGAAACTATTTCAACTTCAAAGAATGTTCAACTGCATTAACAACAGCAACAGAAATGGGATACCAAGAAGAGGAGATTTTTTGTAAAGAACTCGTCATTCTCCCTAGGTTTCCTGTAACAGCTAAAAAAATTTAGTCTTCGTTCACCGCTTCTCTGGCTTTGAGGCAGGGCTCCCCAGCCTTGTTTTCAGTCCCCTATTGATGCTTTGGAGAGCCGCTCCACTGGAGCAATCTGCCAGTTATACGTCAGTGCAATCTTTTTTTTCACCTCTCCCTGCTTGACACCACAGGTTAAGTGCTGTTATCTCTTTTACTTAGTATTGCCATCTGATACCACTGATCATTTCATTTATTCCGTGGCGTGTTTGAATGTATCTACCCTCCTGAGAGGCCATAGATGTCCCATTTGCTTCTGTTCTTGACTGCTGCCTGCCCTGGCTTCATACCACAAACTTGATTTTTGTTGCTTGATCCTTTCTACTGTCTATGCTTGTTCCATCAACTTTCTTCCTCTCTCAGCTATTAAAAGCCCTGAGGCTAGTCCAGTGTGTGCATAGGTAGGTATGTATATGCATATATGTATGTATTTCATCTATGTCACATCCCTGCTTCTTTTTGATGGCAGATATTTTGGGGGTGATGGTTTGGGGATGGTTGCCTGGCCACATGCAGACATGGTGGCAGGAGGGGAACCAGCCCTTGTGAAAATGGGTACTGCATGTCAGCCCTTACAGATGTATGTGAGGAAACTTGGCTATTCCCTGCCTGTACCATATCTAGCTCTTTCCAATGCTCTGGGTCCATTTATTTCATCAGTACTTAAAATGTCTTTGAAGTATTTACAATTTTTTTACTGGGTGTTTCTAAGAGACAGACATAATATAGTTGGTCCAACAGTAAATCTGCTATGATGTGTTTATAATGCAGACTTTAATGTCTCTAGAAAGTTTAGTATTGAATGACACAAGTTTAGACAGAGCTAGCAATGTGAAACAGAAGAACTAGGTCATTATGGGAGAGCTTCTATTTTTACCTGAATTAGATGAACATTGGCTGACATCCTTATGAAAGGATGACATTGTTTTCTTATTGACTTACTGTCACCATGTTTTCTCTCTAGTTTGAATTCTGCTCTGGTGAAGCCCTAGGGAATGTTCCTGTTGAAGCATAGGGCTATGTACAGCTATCCAGATTTGTCCTGTTATTCAACAAGGTGTATTCTCCCAGGCTGAACAGTATGCTGGTGGGATTTTTAACTTGGCTGTTTTGCTCCTTTGGCACAGCTCTGTGTTATGTAGACGTCTTCAGTTTGTCCTACATGATATGCTTGGTGATTGGTACAATTTTTCCTCAGTTATAAGTAACCATCAGGGCTTTAACAGATGGAACTCATGATCCTGTGAGCCTGGCAATGAAGCAGAGCAGAAGCTGGAACATCTCTTTATCAATATCTCTTTATGGTCAACTGGTCAACTCCGACAGCCTAACACGGAATGCCACCCCATACACACGCTTCCAGCAGGTGACTTTTACCTCATTTTTTATTCAGCATATGCAGTTTATTAATGTTCTGAAAGGAGAAGTACTGGACTGGATAAAGATGATCTAAATTCAAAATTGCAGTCAGTCTCTCTTCAAGTAGATGGACCCATCTACCACCAGGATACGGAAATCGGCAAAGGTTGGACCCTTCGTTCACTGCTATGGTTGAGCAAGCCCAGAGAGGTGAGCAGTAATGTACATGTTAGTATGGACACTAGCAGTAACCTTGGTTATTAGTCTCCCCAGAAACATCTTCTGTGCTTTTGTGACTGCCTTACAAACTAGAAAAGCTTCAAAAGCTATTTGTCAAGGAATTGGAATATGTCTCCAATTTAAGCTTTCATGGGCTGGAGAAAGCCATTTCCCAGGCAATTCTGGCCAGATGTCACAGATGTCACTGTGCCCTTTCCTTCATCTCTGTCCTGCCACACCATACTGCAGACCCTAGAGGAGGATGGGTCCATAATGCAAGATCCTATGTGGGCAGGTGTTGTTACTCCTGTAACCCACTTTGCTTGGGACCGGGTCTAGGGTCACAAAATAGTTGCTTTGTGGTGTTATAATTCCAGCTGCCTGAACAACTGTATGGCAATTTGGAAGGCTACTGCCTTGTGCCCATGTTCCTCTGGGAACTTTTTCCTCCTTGATAGCCTTCAATCACCTCCTACACTTTTGTTGTGTATTTATTGTATATTTTATACTTTTATTGTATAAATAAATAATTGTATGTTTATATATAATTTTATTGTATATTTTATGACAAATTGTCCTCTGAGCAAATAAATCTCAAAAGTTAAATTGGGTTGTAAGGGAGTTCATTTATTCTTCTCTGCTCCTCAGTCACTCACTCAGAAGATGCAAATTCTGCAAGAGACTGTAACTACCATGTTATATAAAACGTTTGTATATATCTGTGTTTACTCTTTTTAAAGGGCTGCTCTATCTACCATGAGGAGTGGCTTCATTGTGATAGATATTTTACATATATGTACTTTAGAAATCAGTTTGAACACCTGACTTTGAAGCTACAGCTAGCCAGATTCTGCATCTGTTATATGAAATGATCCATCAGTTTTGACTTTGTTTAGACAAGGCACTGCTGAAAGTACCTTTTAACATAGGCAAAGGTAGTGGAAATGATCTACCTCTTCAAACGCATCAGCATGGCTCAGCTTCCCAAAGATATTTCGGTACCTAGTTGCCACTGACACAGCCTCTGAGATAGATGTTATATCAGTCATTTCCCTGAAATGAGACTTGGCAATTTACTTACAGCTCTTAGTTAAAAAAAAAAAAAAAAAAAAAAAAAAAAAGAAAAAGGGTTTGGGGAAGATATTTATCAAAATGAGTGAGATTGAACTGGCCCAAGCCAGGTGTATTTGCTTCTGTGGACAGCATAGCATTTGAGGCCATTAGCATCACAGTAGTGTTAATATTTCCTATTTTTAAGACTTTTGAATTGTATTTTAACATACCTGAATTTTTTAAAAATTGGTGTATTGTGCATGATGTTGGAAAATGTAGTCTGAAATTTTAATGAAGAATAATTTGTGCTCAAGATAGAAACTAAGTAGAAATCAATGAAATAAGGTGTAATAATGTGCTGAGAAAAGGGAGAGAATGATTTGTAACATTATTTTAAGCAGAGTTGATGGAATACAGTAAAGATGACAGTGGCATCTGGGTGGTTTATTCCTTAGTGGGGGCAGAATGGCAAAGGCAATAAAATCTGAGACTGGTACAACTCTGGGCCTCCCACAGAGAACCAGAGTCCTGCTTTTGAGGAATGAGCAGAAATAAAATCCTGTGAAGCACTATGGCAACCATCACCAGGGAGACCATCACAGATCTCAAACATGTTTATCCAGAAGAATTACAAGTCACGGAGAGATGATAAACTTGGAAATGGCATTTTGGAAGTAAAAACATTGTTACCTGGTAATTGCAGTGGTATGGAAATGTGACACTTTGAGTTCTTAATAAAACAAAACAGTTTTTAAGAGATACTGCAGTATCTCCTAGAAACAGCTAAAGAGTTGTATTTGCAAAGTGTCTGTACAGAAGAGAACTGGTCCTTTTGCAAGAAGGGAAACCAGACCAAAAACTTCATCAGAGTAGAATTCAGTGGAGATCTTTAAACAAAACAGAAAAAAGAAATTAAATTAATAATAAAAAAATATTTATTTTTTTATAAACACCAACACATACTGATATCCAGAGTTAAACTTGTTTGAGGGTGAAGTAAATTCCACTGGGTGTAGCATGGTCCTCATGAATGGTCCTCCGATGAGCTTTGCTCAAATTTGGCAAAGGTGGAAAGCCCGAACAATTCTATGCTCTGTTTTGTTTTAAAGACTGAAGTGGGAATTGTTGCATTCTGTTCCTGGTTATAACACTGATCTATCATACTGGGCAATTCATTTACTTGTTTCAAGTTTTTATCTTTCAAAGGAAGATAAAAGCTTGCTAAACTATTATGAAGATGAGCTACTCACCGTTTATGCGTGTGAAGTGTTGGTTCACAAAATGCTGTATGATGCAATTTGTTGACATTCTTCACAATTGACATTTTTTTCATGTGTCTTGCAAGCTTTTTGCTTCCAGCTATGCTGTCCATGAGTCATCCTGTTCCTCCATGAGTTTTTCTGCTTCATGTAGTTCTCGTTGACACTATTCACTCACATCTTCTGCAGAGGCACATAAAAAGGCAGTGTTATTCATTACTACTGCTGAATTCATGATTGATCCTGTAAGAACAATAACTAACAATAGCAGTCTGTGTTAACATGTGTTTCCGAACAAGTGTTTCTTGCTGTCAGGACTGGTTTGAATGTAAAGTTGAACAGATTTTACTGGTAGTTAGGTGTTTCCTGAGGTCTATCCCATCTCTCTGCGGGTATAAATGTCCACAAATCTTTGCAGATGATTCAGTTAATAAAAAATAATAATAATAAAATAAATAAATAAATAATTAAAAATAATCCAGTTTCCCACAAATCTTTCTATAGCAGGAACCTCAGCTGATACTACATGGCTCCCTCATGGAGGGTGCTGATGGCCAGGAGCAATACTGGGTTGCCCGGACAGGGCATCTCCACGTCTATTTTTACCCTGTGCCATCTGAGACAGAAAATGAGCAGGAGTGCAGTTTGTATCACTGATGATCAGGCAAGTATAAAGCATCCTAAATCAGAGAAATATTTCTGATGTTTGAAATTTGAAAGAAATTAGTAATGTTTTTGTAGCAGGAGCCCAACCCTGATTTTGAATAACAGAAAACTGTTTCTGAATAAAATGAAGGACAAAAGGAAAAGACAAAGAAAACTTACCACAGACACATTCCTTCTTAATCTCAAAAACACTGTCATCTCTGTATTTCCTTATGCACTTTTTGAATCTGATACCGTTAGTGGAATGTTTGCCTCCTAAAATGACATCAGACTATTTCTCAAGGCTCACGTCTTGGTTTATGGTTTAAGAAAGGAGCACTTTGTTCTGCAGTGTTCTTTAATATTATTCTTCACTATTATTGACAGAAATATGTTACTGTCACTCTCACACTGACATAAATTCCATCATCATTTCAGTGGATGTCTTACCCAGAATAAATTGATCAATGTGCATTATATAAAAACACTTCAAGATGAAATGGTTCAAGTCAGTCAAATAAACAAGAAGTCCAGTGATTACATTACAGCTGATATCTTTAGCTTTATCAGTATTGCATCTTTATCTTATTTTAAAGGCAATTAATATTTTTGCAGCCTGGATTTTCTTACTGCTAAGCACTGCATAAGTCCTTTATGATTGAATTTGCTTTAAGCAGGGAGCTGTACGATTTTTTTAATATATAAATTATTTTCCTGAGTTTCAAGGGTGGAAGAATTGTTACTTGGTCTGATGCATGCGGCAACCACTGTGTGGGTCACAAAAGTACCCTGCACGGCACCCACACTCTGATTCCCAGAGGGGGAATTGTTTCCCTTCCACTTGGTCAGTGTTCTGCCCACACTTTTCAACCGAAGGCCAGATCCTTATGAAACAATTTTTCTGGGTGATGAGCCATTTTTGTGTTTTTTTCCCCTGGCTTACGAAGACTAAGGAAGATAGCAAAGCCTCTCCTAACGATTCAATGTAATAGTTAAAAAAGTCAGGGCTTATTTCTAGATGGATGTGGTCATAGTTTTCCCTTTATAAGTGCATACACTAACTACAACTCGACTATACTGCCATATGAATCATAAGTGTCTATATAGAAAGCCTGCTGATGTGGAAGTTTCAAGCATCTTTAGTGAAGTGAAGCTGTGACTCTACCCTAAGTGCATTTTGGAAGTCAATCTCATGTTCTGTTACAAATAGAAAAAACAACTATCTGCTCTAGGAACATGGCACAGATACTCTTTTCATCATCTAATCATGAAGACAGGGGTAAGATGGAATGTTATTTCACTTTGTATGAGTTCCTGTGAGGAAACCACAGAGCTACAGCTTTCGGCTTGGTTGCAAACGTGTAATTTAGATACTTGGATCTTTCTCTTCTTGATAATTATATAATCCATTTGTATAGCAAAATATATAGGAAGAGGATAAATAAATTTTCCATGGTATTATGTATCAAAAATTCAAAGGGTAACAAAGGTTTTCATGCAGCGGCTACCCCATGCCCCCAAGGCTACACATCTGAAATCAGAACCACTTGGTTGAGAAAAAACTTGGTCAAACAACAGTTAAGGATGGAGGTTGGTTTCTGTATGGTGAGAATCAGTAAATTTTCACAGCTTTCAGTAGAGCTACACAGCCTGTTTCAGCAGAGAACTTGGCCCTCAGATGCCTACATGGCTTTTTGTCAAAGATGACTCTGCTCTTGGAGATGCACGCCAGAGACAGCAAGCTGTTGGGAAGTGCCAGAGCAAAAGAGACAAGGATAAAAAAGCTGGACTCAACACATGCCAGTGCTGGGGAAAAATCTCAGGTCCTCCAATGCCTTCTTCCTTACTCTGAGAACTAGACAGCACTGATGAAATGCCTCAATGGAAACTTTCCTTAGCAATTTTCAAATAGGAATTTGTGAGTGTACTCTGTGTCAGACACTTCTGAATTTAGGGGGTTATAGTGGAATGTAAGGGGTATAAATTAGCTTATCTTTTAAAATAGACTTCCAACAGTGCAATCTGTGTACAATCTTTTAGCTATCTGATTATTTCATCTCGTTAGCTGATTTATTTCCTCTATGAGTCTGTCAGCTAAGATACAATGGGACTGGGCTCTCTAATTTAGTGGTTTTCATTAGATTATGAAGTTTGAACTTGAATGAATAAGGAATTATGAGCAATTTAGTTCATAAAGATCAGCAATAATCATAGACTGAATTTGAAGTTATGGAGGAGACCATGAAGAGCAAGAAATACTATTAACTTTAAACTGCTGTTAAAATTCTCATGGGATCTATCGTTATAAAAGAAATATAGAATCTGAATATTCTGATTTTTTTAACAATAAATGCTTTTTAACCAATCTGAACATTCTCACACTTATATATATTAGCTATACTGAAACATTGCATAAAGCAACTTTTGGCTACAACCAAAGGAGAGGATGAAAGACTCAAGTTTCCTTAAACTACTTTTGAGGACCATAGGCTTCCTACCGTTTACAGACTTGATCCCTCTCCTGTTCCAAAAGGCATAGCAGCACTTAAAAAAAATAATTAATTAAGACATAATTACTATATATTACATCATATTATGAAATATGTGGGTTTACATCTTATGTACACAGTAAAAAAAATAGTTTTGGTTCTTAATGTGTTGTGATAGCAAATCATACAAAGGATCTTTGTAGGAGAGATTTTATGTAGTATAAATGCAAATGGTTTATGTGAAAAGAATCATAAGATAATTGAAGTACAGATACAATTTTCGATTTAACTTCTGTTTGCTGTGATACTGGAAACTGGAAATTTACTTCTACAGAGTCAAAATACATACTGATGAGAGACTCAGGTAGCAAAGAATTATTGAGGTGGGACTCTTTTATCAAAAGAAAGGCAGCATGAGAATATTTTTGAATATTTTTTAGGGTTTAGTAAGTGCTTGTTCTAAATCCTTTTGCTCCCAACACTAAAGAGAGCCCTCCGTCAAACACCTTGAAAACAGTTTTTATTTAAACTCTTTGTTTAAAAGTTGGTCTTATGCAAGTCTGTAGATTACAGCCAGGTACTAAAAGGAAGGAAAAAAAAACCCCTGACCTTCAAACCCTGCTATTTCATAATGAGCCACTCTCCTGGAGCTGATATTGCGTCTAGAAACCTGGCTATTTTTCATTTTTTTAATACTTGAGTTGTTTGGAAATTGTCCTGGAAAGCACAGGCAAAATTGTCAGAGAGCTTGTAACATCAGCAAATTCATCCTGGGCCTGCCAAGGTCCAACATCCCTACACTACATTTTGAAGTGCAGTAGCATGGACCTAGTTACAAGCATTATATGTGTACTTTCAATTAACAGGTTACTGGCTACACTAGCAGTTTTCCAACACAACACAATAAAAACTGCTCACATTCACTTCAGTGAATGCTCCAAATCACATCAAATTGTAGCATGCGAAAGGCAGGATTTCTTTCCCATCTGTTCATGGGTATCAAATATTGCATGAGTGTAGATGATGACAATTCATGCTAGTTGAGGGTTTCTTGAATAAGGTGCTCTGCTTTGAGCTCATCTTTTGTCAGACCATGTTAATCAGTGCCTTTAGTCTGTTTCACCCACTGGCAGTTTGAATTTTTTGAGGAACAGGGGGGTTGCTTTGTTTGCCTGTTTATTAAATTCCTATTATGGAAGGATGGTAGGTAGGATTTGGGAGAAAGAAAAGCAGTAGTTTTTCACAGAAGGAGAAATATTATTAGAGAAATAAGATCACAGTTTTCTCCTACTGCAGCTTCTGTATGTGAATCAACATCTGTGTTACAGTTGAGAGGAAACAGCAACAGGAGAAGTGCCCAAACAATTGGGCACACATGGTATTAAGAATAATATTTTTTTAAAAGTAGCAGTAGGATGGCATTTGGTGCTCTCATTAGCATTGCAGGACACCATGGAGCATAAGGATGCCCATGCCCTGAGGCTCGTGCCTGAGGCAGTCATCCGTCACTTCTCCCATCACTCTCTCAGATGGTTTTCCAATCTGAGAGCACAATGTTCTTTGTGTGTGAAATTGTGTATTGACTGAGAAACAAGTAAAAGGGGATGTTTTAATTGTTTAGAAAAAATCCTTGCCACTTACAAGTTCCTGTGTTACACACTTGCATTAGTTATCTAATCCGCTGTATCACCCAGTAGGAGACTGGGCACAAGCTTCACCACTTGTAAGTGAATTAGGACCCCATGACTTGTAAACCTACAGTAGTCCAAATATGGGGTTACTTGGATCCCATGTGCTGCTTCCAAAAACAAATATAACTTATGCTTTTACATCAAACTCATAAAACTTGGAACTGGTTTTAGGTCTGGATTTGACCTTTCCCAAAGTCTGAGAATGCTGAGATGATTATTGGAAAACTGTGAAGAGAAAGAGTAAAGGCAAAACTTGATAAATGTCTGCAAAGGAAAGCTCTAAGAAGCACAACACATTTTCATTTCTCATAGCTGATATGGCCAAAACCAAAGGGCAGCACCCTTCTGGTGTAATGTCCTTGACTGCTCTTATTTGTTCTGTGAAGTCGCTCTCCTTTAAGCAGAAAACCCACCTAGAGACACAGTTTTGCTTAGTTTGCTCAAAGAAGTTGAGAAGGTTCAGTAGAATCCTTTCCTGACTATGTGTGTGCTGGTTGTGGGGAGGAAGCAAAAGCAAACTACTCTGCTGTAGCTGGACAGCATTGTAAAATTAACATTCAGCTAAATGCACATTTTCTTCTACCTAAGATCTTACCAGCTTTCGGAAGAGAATAACCGTCTTTTCTTTGTTTGGTGACCACTTAAAAGGGATGGATAAAAATGGACAGTGGAAATGAGCAGCAGCTCTTTAAACAACCAGTCTGTCACAGTGACAGCTGAAGATGGTTCACTTCTGCATATTGCATATTGTTTGTTCCAGACTCAAAATGTGGGTTATTTGGAAACCTGATCCATATAAGCTCCAAATGCCCATGTGGGTGAGAAATTGCCCTTTATAAAAAGAACATAGCATTTCTTATTCCTCTTCATGGATATTAACCATTTCCTTTCCAGAACATTGCCATGATTTAGCTGGCTTCTCTACTTTGCAGAAATGAAAAACAAGATTAAAATGAAGAGTACAAAACCCAAGACTAAAATAATTTAAGGACAGAGTTCTGGAAAAAAGTGTTTCCATTAAAATGTTTGGCTTTTTTCTATTTAAATTTATAAAAGCATTGAGAGGTTCTTTCTTTGTTTGGTTTTGTTTGTTTGGGTTTTTTTGGGTGGCTGTTTTTTTTGGTATTACCATTGTTAGGTCAGTTTTTTTTATGATCTCATAGTGATTGTAAAATCCCTCCAAGGGCCAAAGATAAGTAATAATAAGTAATAATAATAATAAAATAATATCATAATAATATCTGTAAAAAACCAGCAAAAATAATCTGAGTAAGCTTGCAGAGAAAGTTTCTTTCCCTTGGCAACTTTCCTTTCTTTGTAAGGAAATGATCTTCTTTAATGGGTCATTTGTTTCATAAACTGTCTGCGATAGAGTTTTCCCCTTTTCCTTTGAAATCTCTAGATATAGTCATGGTGAGAGACAGTTAGCTGAAAGAAACATGCAGCAACTCCCTTGTTAGATCACTCCGGACCTGATCTTTGCACACTGACTTTGATTGGGGTTATAATGGGATATGTTACTTGGAAATAAAATTCAGTAATACTGACCTTTCAGGACAAACTTGGAGCATATTTGTATCACTGAATTAATTCCTACCACCTCTGAACAGTTGTTTGATGTCTTTGCAGAGATTTTTTCCTGTGAAATAACAGTCAGCTAGTCTTACTGTCTGCAAACCTGCCCCCTTGAAGGGAGTGCTGCAGTTATTAACAGATGACTGCCTGAAAATATAGTGAAAAAAAATATAGTGTGACAGCCTAATTCTTGTGCATGTAAGAGTAATTTAGGTTGCAGACTCTACTTCACTAATCGAAGCTCCATAGTTCTCTGAGATACATAAATAATGACATACTCATTTTCTAGTTGGGAAATAAAGGCAGAGAGAGGTTACATTATTTGCCCCATGTAAAACAACGATGGATGAGAATGGAAAGCACAGACTTTCCTGTTCAATCTATAGCCCTTGCTGCTTTTCTGAGCATCCTCTCCCAAAGGATGTCCTGTTAATGTGCCTTATAGTACTGGATATGAAATTGTTGCAAAATTCACTGAAGCTGGTGGACTGATATTGCAATCCCAGAGAGAGAGAGGCTAAGTACTCTTCCGTTCAGTGAGAGATAGAATGGTAGATGATACTGTCCAAAATTACAGGAGTAATATGAAGAATAAAAAAGTCCATACATAATGGCTTATCGGAAAAACAAAACAAAACAAAACTAAACGAACCCACAAAATGCCAGGGGTCAAAATGCCACTGGAGGAGGACCTACATATTGGGGTTTTCTTCATTAAGAAATGGTATCATGAATTCAGCTTTAACACAGTTTCAAGGTAAAAAATATTTTGCCCAGTAGATACAACTCATTTTCATATTACAGTGACTTTGAGTAAAATACCTTTGTATAAATAAAGTTCAGTTGTATATAGAGCATGATGAATGAAGTGGTTTGTTTTCAGTTCAGTATCTGGAGGTGATCTGGGGATTTGCTGCACAAGAGTGAGAGCAAGAGATTCACTATGTTAAGGAAACACATTAAATTCTCCAGGTACATTTCTTTTAAAAGTGTCATGACAACTAAACAGACCTACTAAACAGTGAGCCTTTATTCACTGCTGTTACCACACCAAACACTGGCTATTCACAGTCTGTGCTCTGCAGTACCATTTATTTTATAATAAACTGATTGTCTTTCCTCATCCTCTGTAACTATATTTGGGAACAATAAATGAGTAGGAATGCGTAACATTGCCATAAAGTAAAGCTTTTAGATTTCATGTACCATCTTCTCTAAGCCATGGCAAAAATACAATTTAATATACATATTGAATACTACTCTGAAGCATGTTAATGCAAAAGTTTAGTTAGTTCAATGTTGGTTGAAACCACATGACCGGATAGTAATGTGCTATGCCCAGAAATATTCCCATAAATACAAAAAGTAGAATTAGCAACCTGAGCTTGAGCATTTAAAAATGTTGTAGTTGTAAAGGTTAGGGGGAAGAATTTGGGTTTTATGTTGTCCTCAAGGCCATATTCTGAGGGGCAACAGAATGCCATGATGATGTCTTAGCCGACACTGTCTGAACTACTCATCTTGCAGAATTAAAACAGTCAGTGACCTCACCTCAAAATACTTTCATTCATCGGAAAATGTAAATGGAAATATCCAGAATCAAGAAAGAGAAATAAACCATATAAATTACATCATCCTTGCTTTACCTAATATTTACCTATATAATATTTACCTAACATTTTTTAATTATTACTAGGGTGCAAAAAAAGTCTAATCCACTTCTTGGAAATGGATTAGTAACCTCAGTAACCTCAGCTGCCCCAGTGCATTCCAGGCAAGATGCGCTGTTTCAGAAACAACAAGGGATTGGGTTGCACTGGAACAATGTGCGACAAGATCTGCACTTTGAACTGCATCCAAGAGTGAATAGGTCATCAAGGTAGCTGCTGAGGAGTTGGTGAAAATGTTCCTACCAGTTCAATTAGCTGAGGGGAGGCCAGATTCAGCTCAAATTGAAGTTAGCTATAATACACAGGGATTTTGGTACACATTACCCAATTTCTACCATTTTCACCAAATTAAGAGTTGGAAAGGTATTACATTATCTAGTAAACTACCTTGAGGATGAAAAATGCTTCATAAATGACAGTGAGAATTATATGATTAATTACTAAATAAAATTTAATATTTTATTTGTGTTTCCGAACCTTGTTTTCAAAGAGCACGGATAATCACACTTGTTGTTCTTCTCCAGGGCTCACACATAACCATGTCTTACATCTCTGCACACCAGAATTTTTATGAGGGTGCTGTAAGAACCTTTGTTCCAGATTCTGTTATTACTAATCCCACTGTAAAGCTGAAAACCTGCCTGGAGCTTCTTTACAGCTACACTGAAATGACTGATGGTAAAATTTGCTCCCTAAGCATTTGTGATGTCTAGTTTGCAACATTGGGTGATATCTGTATCTTCTGTATCTTTGCTGTTCTGGAACATGACTAGAATATTTTTTCTCATATGTGTGTCAAATGAAATCCAAAGGATATTTCACTCTGTCTTATTCCAAATTTCATTCAGCACTGACCTCTTTATTTTACTCTTGCAGTGATTTGGCAAAAAGTGTCAATCAGTCTCTATTTCTTGAATTCTGCTTGATCCTGATAGGTCTCTCCATGCATCCTGGGACAAACTGCAAACTTCATGTTGTTGTCTCCTCTGCTGTTTCTCTATTCATAGTGAGATTAAATGCACTGTTAGCATTTAAGTAACATGAACTGCAGTTCAGATGAAACATTTGTGACTGGTTTAACTGAATTGATATTGTTCACTTTGATAATGACCAGTCTTCACAGCGGTGAATGTCACCAGTGGGCTCCTTCCCTTGCAAGCCCATCCATCACACCCAAACTCTAACCATAACTCAGTAATAGACACCTGCTGTGACATAGAGGATTGAGAGTGCCTCCCACCCAACCACGTAAGAATATGGGGAAGGCAGCCATAGGGGAGAAAAAGGGAAGAGTTTTTAGTTATTGAATTAATTACTTAAAGAAATCTTCCTATGTTTACCACATGAAAAAACTGAAGCAGACTACATATGATTGTTTATCTTTTTTTCCTAGATCTGCTAATGTATCTTCCTATGTATGGCAAAGTTATCCTGTACTGGAAATGATACAAAACTCATACACCATGTGTTCTTGGAAAGATGAGCTTGGGGAAAATACATATTGAAGCTGCTATGGTAAGAAGTGAAGAGAGCTCTCACTGGCCTGGTATGCACTCAGAGAAAGGATCCAGGAAGATCCAGATCTTCAGAGGGCTGCTGGTCCCACAGACTGTGCCACAAGCATCTCCCAGAGAGAACAAGGGCACATAGCTACAATCTCATTAGACTGAGGAATGCTTGAAGCTCTTATGTCACAGTGGAGCAACCAAATGCGTCATGCAGTGAGGGTGAGTGAACTTAAGGTGATGGAGTAATCTTCTACTGTTTGTTAAAAAATTAATAATAGAAACATTTTATCAGAACAGATAATTAAAATGTTGTTGTCATATATATATATGTATTGAAAATGGTTGTCTTATTTTTCCTCTTTCAAAATTTTTACTTGATTTTTACATTACACACAAATATTCAAGGAAATTAACATCTCCAGATACATGGTCTTCCATGTCACATGTTTAATCATGTTTAATAAATGTTGTTTGAAGTTTGATGAGTGTATTTAAATGCGGAATTTTACAATTTTCTCCTCTCATATCTGAATTTTCAATTGAGATTAAATTATATTTTTAGCATTTCTCTGTTTATCTGGCACAAAGAACATAACCTGTAAATGTAAAATGACTAATCTAACTCATAAAAAAGATTAAAGAACAGACACATAGGTAAACATCATACAGCTTCTCGGAAAATGCATTTCTGAAGTGAGAAAAATTCTAGTGGAGCCCATGTATAGTGACTGTGAACCCTGATCTTGGAAACCTTTTCTTAGTTTCTTTATATGTACACTATAAATTCTATTTCTTTAAAATGTTTTAAAAGAACAGTTTTGTGGTTTATTTATTTCAGTCATCTCCACGTTTTAAATTTCTGTCTCCATCCTGCGGTTAAAATCTAATGTTCTAATAACCCAGGAATAGATTTGAAGATGCTTTGAATGTTTTTAATTTGAGAGGAAATACAGACTATAACATGTGAAGTGTTTTTCAACCTAGTCCTTTGATAGTCTGATGTGCCATAAATCTTACATTTTGTTAGCTACAAAAATGCAGTTTGACAGCCAGTTTGACTTTGGTTCCCTGAATGATTCTGAAGGAATAACAAAAATCCATTTAGACAGGAGCAAGAACATCCATTCTCACTTTTGAGAATGCAAACTGTGTTTGCTAATTAATAACTTCAGGAAAATCAGCAGACAATGGGACCCATTCAATTCTCTGACAGAATTTTAGATCTCACTAGCAAAATCCTTTCCCACTCTAGTAATGGCCAGTCTTCGCGAGTGAAGATTTGGGAAAGGTCATTAACCCTT